ATGTTGTATATACATACAATAGGATATTATTCATCTTACAAAGGTAATGAAATTTTGATACATGCTACAATAGACGAACTTTGAAAACATGCTAATTTTGAAGTAAGCCAGACAAAAGAGGACAATTATATGATTCCATTTATATGAGGTATCTACAGTAGACAAATTCAGAGAGACAGAAAGTGGAATAGAGGCCACCAGGGGTTGGTGGGGAGGGAGAAATGGGGAGTTAGTGTTTAATTTGTATAGAGTATCTGTTAGCGATGATGGAAAGTTCTGGAAATGATAGTGGGTGATGGTTATATAATATTGTGACTGTACTTAATTCCTAAAAATGGTTAAAATAATAAATTTTGTTATGTACATTTTACCACAATAAAAATAAATAAAATTGAAAAAAGTGAAAAACAAAACAAAGATAAGAAGTAACCAGGCCCGGCCAGGCATGGCTCAGTGGTTGAGCATCAACCTAGGATCCAGGGTACCGCGGTTTGATTCCCAGTTAAGGCACTTGCCCGGGTTGCGGGCTTGATCCCCAGTCGGGGCGTGCAGGAGGCAGCCGATCAATGACTCTCTCATCACTGATGTTTCTATCTCTCTCTCCCTCTCCCTTCCTCTCTCTGAAATCAATAAAGATACATATATATTTTAAAAAAAGAAGTAACCAGGGCAACCGGAAATCATTGCTATGACTTAAATGGACCCAAAGGCCCAGTTTACAGACACTTGTTTCTAAAGAAACAAAGCTGAGATGTTAACTGTCTTTATAAACAGAAGATTGAGGTAATATGTATATAAATTATATATGTAATATGAGAATGAATGGGTAATTTTTTTGTCTTTGGAAATGTTTGACAATGATTCCCTTTTGAAATGTTTGGCATTCCCTTCCTAATTTATATATGCAGCAGGCATGCAAAATTAAAGTAGTTAGGCCTATGTTGTGTTGAAAGGAATTAGAGGAAAGAGCTGTGATTATTTTGAGGCTATTTTATAATCTCCTGCACTCGATTATTTGTTTCTTGGGAGTAGGAGCTGCCTTGACTCCTGTGTAGTTCTACTCCTTGCCACTTGGTAAACCCTGATCAGGCTCAGCAAGGCTGTTTTTGTTTTGGGCATAACTGGATTGCAGTGTAGGTATTGGTACAGCACTGGAACAAGCGAAATAGAAACGGAGCTCAAAGCTATAAAGTTGAAGGGGGATTGTAAAGATTTATCCTATAAGTTAAATTTCCAAAATAGTTTCACACTTTTTATCAGTTTGTATAGAGTAGACTAAATTGTTTTATAAATATTAGAGTGCATTATATGAATTATTTTTAACATTAGATATTAGATAGATCATGTTGGCTCCTTCAGTGGAGACCTCAATGAGGTCATTAGCTGCTGCCCAGAGACCTTGTATATCAGATAGTATAGCAACTACTCAGACTTCTGTAACTTATGGACTCTAAATTTTCATGCATTCCTCACCAAGGATCATTCACTATGGATTCCTAATGGACAGGCAGGTAAGGAAAAATTTCTTTTCATGTTATATCTACTTCTTTCCCCCTCTCCTCTCTCCTCTCCTCCCTATCCCTCCCCGCCTTGTCTTTTGCATCATTACCTGTATTTTTAGGACAAACTTGTAATTAAATAACAAAGTCTCCATGCTTAAACTGTGTAAGAGATAAAAATCATGTGCCTGGGGACTAATGATGATAAAGCACTAAGAGGCAATTTAAGGACTAGAAATTTGGGGCAGTATTTTCTCTTAATAAGAATGATCTTATTCAAACAAAGATACTTAATTTTTTATTGAATTTATTGGGGTGACATTGGTTAATAAAATTATATGGGTTTCAAGTGTACAATTCTATAATCATCATCTGTATATTGTATTGTGTGTTCACCACCTAGAGTCTAATCCCTTCCATCACCATTTATCACTCATTTACTCTCTTCTATCTTCCCCCCACCCCCCAAACAAAGATGTTTTAAATGGAAACTTTAGCTTTTACTTGTACAGGTTCAGAGATTTAAAATTTTTTTAAATCCTCATTATGCTACTGTGTGGACTAAGGAATACAGGGAAACTATGATAGAGCAGAAGTTTCCATGCTGAAGCCTAACTCGGATGTTGAATCAGGAGTAGAAGGGAAGGGATTATGTGTAATTTTATTGACGTTATTTTTCCTCAGCCAGATGGAGGAGAAAATACATAAAGTATTCCTTTGACAAGCGAAATACCTTTTGGGGGGTTAAATATTTTACTGCTAAAATTGCAAACCTAGATTTTCCAGAATTAGAGACTTTGGGTATATTAGCTAAATACTGTAACTAATAATAAACACATAACCAAGTTAAGACCTGTAGACCTACATAGATGAATTTATCAAATTCTTAACATGCAAGTTCAAAGTTCTTGAGATTTTAATTTAAACTATCTAGGTTGGGTTGATTTTCTGATTATATTTCAAAAGACAATAAGCGGCTTCCTTCACATAAATTTATCAAGTGAGCAGAAAAAGGAAATAACAGAATCATCAGGAAGAAAATAACATGAACCATAATTATGATTCTCTTATTTTTTCTTTTATTTTTTTAATTGTGACTCTTTTTAATTGTCTAAGCATACTTATACTTTATATTTCTCGACCTCATTAATGTATTTATTATGAAAATTTAAATATATGTTGACAAAGTTAGCTTTTGTTTTTTAAATGATGCATATTTATTATCAGAAATGTCAAGTTTATGTTCAACAAAGTGTGTAAAGCACTTGAATAGACATTTCAACAAAGAAGATGTACACATGGCCAATATGCAAGCGCATGAAAAGACATTCACCATCGTTAGTGCCAGGGAAACGAAAATCAAAACCACAGCGAGATACCACTTCACAGCTGTTAGGATGCCTATTATTTTAAAGCAGCCCGGAAAGTAAGTGTTGGTGAGGATGTGGAGGAATCTGAACCCTTGCACTTTGCTGGTAGGAATGTAAAATGGTGCAGCTTCTATAGGAAACCGTTTAACAATTTCTAGATGGTGGCGATGATTACACATTGTTGGAAATGTACTTAGTACCACTGAATTGTACACCAAAAATGGTTTAAGTGGTAATTTTTATGTTATGTGTATTTTACCACAATTAAGAAAAAAATGAAGTAATAAAGCAAACTACAAAGAAGAGATCAGCAAATTGTTTTAAACCCAACTTTCTAAGAAGGACCCATGTTAACACTTGGTAGTAATTCTAATACTTTATTCTGTGCTTTAAACTTTTTGTTATGAGATATTTCAGAAAGTATCTCTATGAAAAAAGTACAGATAATAATATAAGCAGCACTTACGAGCATAGGCATGTTGATTTGTCTAATAGGAGCTATGACCCAGGCATGAGCAGGAGTGCTTTGTGCCTGCGAAGTTAACCAGCTGGTGCTGGATTTAAACCTGCAACTGTGGCCTTGTATAAGACGATCTAACCAAGCAAACTTAGACATAAAAATGATCACTAAGTGAAACGGGAAACTATGAAAAGCCACAGGTCACATCATTAAATGTATCTGAGATAAGCATCATTATGCTCTGTTTATGTTACTTGGTAGTACTATTTATCTTACTTTAGTCTAATCCTAAATGTCATTGTAAATGTTTTCCTTTTATTCTATGTCAAATGTTTCTGGATATAACATTATAAAAGAATATTGGTAATATATGCTTTTATAGATCACTGGAATGTGTTTGTATAGAAAAGATGTAATAACATCAGTTGAATAGCCTGCTGTAAATTACGTAAAGTTTAGAAAGTCAAAGGGCACTTTGTTCCAGTTTGAACTCCATCATTACCTTTCTTGTAACTTTAGACTAAAACATCATCATAAAACATAAATAGCTGTTGACCATTTTACATATTTTCTAGTAAGACAAAGTTAATATAAAGAGTTGGAATAGCCAATAAAGTGACCAAAATGCAATTATTATTTGTCTCCCTTTCCCTACCTCGATTTTAATACATATTATTTATTTAGCAATTATAAATAAAGAATGTCAGAATGTCTAACCTTGCTCCACCATTTATTAGTTGTGTGACAGTTTTGTAAACCTTTCTCAGCCTCTATTTCCTCCTCTGTACAATATACATCACAGTAGGGCCTACATCATAAATTTGTTATGAGAGGTCAGTGGATTTTAAAAAAGGGGACATCTGTAATACTTTCAGCAATAAAGAAAAAAGAAAAAAAAGAAAACAAATATTTAAAACAATGCATGCATACAAGTGCTCCACAAATATAAGCTACTTTTATTGTTGTGAGGATGATGAACCTACTCTGTATTCAATCCTAAAATGAATATTATGAGATCTGATAATACAATATACTTTCTTATATCAAAGAATTAATTTATTTGGATATAATCTCAGAAATATGTGAGATCCTAGCCAAACGGCCCTCCTGCTCCCCGACCCTGAGATAGATCCTGATAAAATTTCTGTAATAAACTCTAAGTTCATTTGGAATCAGAGTAAAGACCCAACAGTTGGAATCAGAGGGGAAAACCCCCCCCCAAAAAACAAATGAAAGACTTCATTGAGACAAAAGGATCTGAACGGAGCCCTGAAAGACAGAATTTGCAGAGGTTGGGGACTGGGGGTAGGGGAGGGGGAATCAGCCCCACCCCCCTTCTGTGCTAGGCACTATACTTTGTGCTTCACAACCTCTCTTTGCATTGGTCCTGTCTGGTCACATAGCTAGTATTTGCCAATCAGGGATTTTAACTCCTCTCTAACCCCAGAACAGTTTGTATTTCCCCACTATGCTGCTTCTTTGATAACTACAGGTTGTATTATTCTGTGTCCAATTATATGCTTCTAAGTATCCCGTTCATTTTTAGTGGCTAATTTTTATTTATTTATTATTTTTTCCCCCTTAATTTTCTTATTTGTATATATACTGAACTGTATGTTTGCTTTTTAATTTAAATTTTGCTGATTTGTGTTCTTTCATAATTTAACTCAGGTGTAATGTCTTTGCTGAGGCCTCTCCTTCTGGATGTGGTCCCAACTATTCAACAGACTGCTGCTTTGGCTCTTGGGAGGCTGGCTAATTATAATGATGACCTGGCAGAAGCAGTTGTCAAGGGCGACATTCTTCCACAGCTTGTTTATTCATTGGCAGAACAGAATGTAAGAATTTTTAAAAAGTTATGTTTTTGACTTAAAAAGTTGATAGTTTGGGTACATTTGCGAGCTTGTAGGCATTAGAATTATTAAGATGTTAATACAGCCCTGGCTGGTGGTTCAGTGGTTAGAGCTTGGCCTGTGCACCAAACGGTCAAGGGTTATACTCCTGGTCAAGGGCTAGTACCTCAGATGCAAGTTCACTCCCCCCACCCCCCAGCCGGGGCCTGTGTGGGAGGCAGCCAGTCGATGTGTCATAGATGTTTCTCTCTCTCTCCCCCTCCCTCCCTCCCTTTCTTCTACTCTCTCTGAAAAGCAATGGAAAAAATATCTTCAGGTAAGGATTAAAAAAAAAAAGATGTTAATATACATTCAGGTCTCTGAACTGAACATAATCTCTTTAGGGCATTCTACTTCGGGGTTGATATGCAGCTTTTTCCCATTATTAATATAAAGAGAAAACATTTTAAAATGTAATGGAATTATACATAAAGCAGTATTTCTGTGTATAGGAGTATTAAATTTATAGGATCAGTCTTACATGTATAAAGCCTTAGGCAAACAAAAAGTTGTGTACAGAAATCTTTATATACAGGTGAAATTTGGTTAATGGTAACTGTAAGAAATTGCTTTAAAGCAAGGAGGAGAGAAGCATCCAAAAGGAAGGAGAATGCGTTTAATAGAAGGTTTGGTAAAGCATTTACCAAGTATGCAAGCATGTCAGGCCTTTTAAGGGTCACCTAGGAGTGCCCTAATTTCCCCCCCTTCTATCTGGTTCCGCTCTGTGTTCCTGTACAGCACCACCTAACAGTTGTTAAGGAAGGACCTTCCTATAGGTAGGGTCTTGGACTTTTCATTCTATTCTGCTAGTTTATCATAATCTAGGAATATATCTTTCTTGACATATCTTTAATATTACATTCCTGTTTGTGTAACCAAAGGACAAACAATCAAATTAAAAATGGTCAAAGGGCCCAGGCCCGCATGGCTGAGTTGGTTGAGTGTCATCCCATGCACCAGAAGGTTGCTGGTTCAATTCCCAGTCAGGGCACATGCCTGGGTTGCAGGCTTCGTCCCCGGGGGGGG